CCTGCTACAACCACTATACTTCATTCATGCTTCCCCCTCCTATAATTTCCAACTCTCTGTCCATCTTGTATGCCTCCTTCTAGATGTGTGAGATATCTGGGCTAGGTACTTAGAAATGAATGGGTCCTATGTACGCAACCTGGCTGGATACACTGTGGGCACCACATTGTGTAGAGCTTGTGTAGCTATCTGCACGCTCTCAGCTGTGGGTGTCGCTCCCACCCCTCCCTAATACTCAACATCATGTGACTTTTTAATATCTGTTGATGTTATAAGAGGAAAGTGATACTTCATTTTTTTTGTTTAAATGAATATGACACTAAAAACAATTTTAATGGCTAGGGAGAAGAAGGCTCTGTGTTTAAGAGCACTGGCTGCTCTTGCAGAAGACCCTGGTTCAGTTCCCAGCACCCACATAGCATCTCACAACTGATTATAACTTTAGTTTCTGGGCATCTGATGTATTCTTCTAGCTGCCATGGGCACAGGCACACATGTGGTGCCCAGACATACATGCAGGCATATCAGCCATATACAGTAAAATATAATAAACACAACCTTAAAAAGATTGCTAGATCCACAGCAAAATTAAGCGGAAATTACGATTTATTTAATTCTGCCAGATCCCCATGTCACCACATTCTACAATCAGGGTCTTGTATCAGAATAGTGTTTTTTTTTTCAACCAATGAGTCTGACTTTACCATCATTATTACCCAAATCTCTAGAGTTTGTCGTCACTTACTCTTGGAGTTGTACCCCCTTTTCCTATTCCTGCTCTTCCTTCTTGTCTTTTGTTGTAAATTCTTTAACATATACCGGCATACGTCTAACATTATAGCATCATACATAATAATTCAATGTCCTAAAAATTCTCCATGTTTAGCCAATTCACCTTGCTTTTCTCATTCTCTGTTCCTTGGATCCTAAAGGCTCCCACAGGGGAGGGGGTGAGAAGGTGCGGCACCAATGACACAGACACCAGGAGTCCATTGACAGCAAATAACAAACTCATTTACTCAATGGGTTTAAACAGAGAAGGCCTTATATGCCCTCCTCCCAGCACCCAGTCTGTGTGGTCATGTCTCATTGGCTGGGCATGATCAGGAACTCTGATAGCTCCTGTGGCTAGGCCCTCAGGCAGACTCCAGGTTGGCTCTTGAGTACAATATGTGCACGCCTTGGATACTGGTCTGAGTCAATTTCCTCAACCCTATGGGCCTGTCCTACTACAATTCTCATTGACAACCACTAATGTTTTACTGTTTCTATAGCTGTCCCCAGAATGTCATATAACACAAGACTGTATATAGTCTTTCTCAGAGTGGTTTCTTCACTTAATAATAAGTAAATTCGGTAATTAAGATTTCATAATAAGGAAACACTTAAGGTTCCTCCTACTCTTTCCATGGCTTGAATATTAATTTTAGGGCTAAGTAATATTCTGATGTTAGGCATATCATAATCTTCCCCATCATCTATTGAATTATGTGTAGTTACTTATGCATTTGGGCAGTTATGATAATGGAACTATAAGTATGTGGTGCAGGATTTTGCGCAGACCTAAATTTTAGTTCTTCTGGATTTGAAGTAAGGACCAAGAAGCATGGCTGATATCAAAATGGAGAGGTATGTTTAATTTTGCATCAAATTCCTAAATTGCCTCTTAATGTAACTGTACTATTTTGCATTCTCACTAACAATGAGTCAGGTTTCTCTTGCTTCACACCCCCTCTAGCCTGTGATATTGTCAGTCTTCTGGATTTTGCCTGTTCTCATAGGTGTGTGGTGTTATCTCACTATTGTTTTAGCTTGCAGCTTCTTTTTTATTTTTAACTAATTAATATATTTTTTTTTAGTTTGGTTTTTCAAGACAAGGTTCTTCTGTGTAGCCCTGACTGTACTGGACCTCATTCTGTAGACCAGGCTGGCCTCAAACTCAAGAGATCCACTTGCCTCTGCCTCCCTAGTGCTGGGATTAAAAGCATGGGCCACTACCCCTGGCTTCAGCTTCTTAATGGCATATGAAGTGAACCATCTCTTGCATTTACTTGTTAGCTGCATATATTCATATGAGGTATATATGACAACTCATATACATATATGAGTTGTCAAAGCCTTTTGTCTACATTGAAATCTAATTGGTTTTTTTTCTTGTTTAGATTTTAAAACTCTTTTATATTTTGGATAAAACATTTTAATGGACCATATCTTGTAAGTTGTCCTACTATATTTCTTCTCTTACTATCTCTTGATAATGTATTTGACAGAGCATAAATTTTTAATTTGAATGAAGTCCAGTTTATCAATTATTTGCCTCACAGGCCATACTTTTAGTGTTGTATGTCAAAAGCCATCAACAGATTCAAGGTCATTTGGATTTTCTCCTATGTTATCTTCTAGGTGGTTTGCAATTTTGCAGTTCACATTTAGGAATATGATTCAGTCTGAGGTTATTATGGTGAGAGGTGTAATAAAGAGACAAATATACTTTGTTTACAGAAAACATTCCTTGACTTTTGCCAAAAAATTTTATCTGTAACCAACCTATAACTGTAACTGATGAGTGTGATTGTCACATTAAAGTAGACTGACACTTGATTTCTGACAAGTAACAAAGAAGTCAAATGCCAAGACTTACATTGAACACTGACCCGTTTGCCTTGTTGATAGTTTTATTTGTTTCATTGGTGGCTCTGGAGCTCAAACCCAGGCCTTGTGCCTAGTCAAGCACTCTGCCACTAAGCTACATCCTTAGCATGAAAACATAGTTTTTAAAGATTGGAAGAGCACTTCTTAACTTTTCCATGTTACAACGTAAGAGCTATAAACACAATGCACCATGCATATGTGGGGAGGGGGTGCAGTGGCCAACCTTATCATTCTTCAAGAGCTTGTTTTGAAACAGTGTCTCTCTCTGGGACCTGGACTTTGCTGTCTGGTTAGGCTGGCTGGCCAGCAAGCTATGGAGATCCCTCGTCTGCCTCCCCAGTGCTGGGATTACAAGCATGTGCCACCATGCCTAGCATTTCATGTGAATGCTAGAGACAGAACGCATGCTTGTGCAGCAAGCATTTTATCCACTGATCCATCTACCCAGCCTATTTGTTTTTAAAATTAATCTCTGTGGCTAACATGTAAACTAGGTTCTCTCTCTCTCTTTATCTATCTATCTATCTATCTATCTATCTATCTATCTATCTATCTATCTATCTATCTCCCTTTCTCTCCCCAAACAAACAACCTTGATATAAATATCTTAAGGAAGGGAGAGAGGTTTTGGTCCACAGCTCTGTTGATTCTGGGCTGTGATGAAGCAGAATATTATAGTGATGGGAACACATGGCCAAGGCTGTTGACCTCATGGCAGAAAGCATGCAGAGGGAAGGGATAGCACAGAGAGCCCCAGCAAGATACAGTCCCTGTGAAATGTCGCCAGTGACTTTCTGTCAACGAGGCCCCACTTCCTGCCTTTATTTCGACGATGTCCCACTAGTGCTATCATATTATGATTCCTTTTGAGTAGGAACCCATTGACTAGGTCAGAGCTCTTAGGATCCAATCACGTTCCAAAAGCCTACCAGCTAGCAGCTCGACCCCAACACACAAGCCTGTGACAGGCATTCCATATTCAGACTACAACAGTGAACAGTCTAGAGGAAGCTAGCGGAAGCTCTGCAAACTTTCTATAAGAGTGAGAGAGAAAATGTTTAAAGCTTTTTGGTCAGTATAATACCTGGCACCACTATTCAACCATCAATATATTGCAAAAGTAACCACAGACACTCTGTGAATTAATGGACATGTTTGTTTTCTAGTAAAACTTTACAAAATAAGGCTTGGGGCTGGACTGGAGCCATTGATCACAGCGTCTCCTGATGTACATACACAAGCAAGGCTCAGCCCTCATTGCAGCCCTGCCGACATTTGTCACGTGATCGCTCCCACCATGGCCCATGTCATGCTGTCACGGAGTGCGGAGTTGGGAGAAATGCACAGCAGCACATCTGTGAATGTGCTCTACCATCCAGCCACAGAAGACCCCAGAGCAGGAGCCCGCGAGGAAGGCTGCAATGCTGCAATGCTGCACGGTTGCTGCTACTTGAAACCTCGTTCCTGTGTGCTTCTCGCAGAAAACAGCACCTTTCACGGTGGTCGCCAAGTGCACCTTGGGCAGGAGTCAAGAGAGCGTGGTGAAGAAGGCAGAGCCATTGGACGCTCTCCTGTTATTTCTATGGAGAGTGGAGGTGACCCCGCAGGTAAGAGGCTGGGCCCCCAAGCACTCTCACAAGGCTCCTCTCTCTTTGGATCCGTCATTGGAAATTTACAGGGAAGCGAACGCAGTTCAGCCTAGCTATGTTTCCACATTACAAGGCCACTCCCTCCGTGACTACCTCTTCCCTTCTACCCTCCACAGAGACAAGCTCCCCTTTTATGTTTCCCTTTGGTCCCTAGAAGAGTATCTTAGCATCACTTTCCAAGTCATTGGCTTGTTCTTCATCTTTATATATTTTGCTGTGTGTTTATCCATATCTATATCTATGTCTATCGAGACAGAATGAGAGAGATTATTTTACATGGGAAATTGCTACACACCCCTGGCTTGCCTAAACTCACTTACGTAGACCAGACTGGCCTCACACTCAGAGAGCTATTCCTGCCTCTGCCTCCTGAATGCTGGGTTTAAAGGTGTGCGCCACCGTGCCTGGTCTTAGATGTGTTTTTTAATTAAAAAATTGCATCGATTTACATACTTGTGAGCATTTATGCGTGTGTCCCCAGGCTATAGTGTGCGTGTGGAGGTCCAAGGGCAACTTGCAGGAGTTGGTTCTCTCCACCCTGTGGGCCTGAGGTTTGAGTGGCAGGTGTTGTGAAGCCCCCGAAGTGGGTGCTGGGACAGAGCTTACACACTCGGGAGGAGCAGCCAGTGCCTCTAACTGCCGAATCTCCCCAGCCCCTCCCTGCAAGGACTTTCTCCAGCCCCTGTTTCCCCACTGGAACATTTCCAGGAGTCTTCCCAGGTTGAATTCCCCTGCCTGGGATAATGCTCCTGGGCAGCTGGTCAGTACACACTGGTGGCCTGGCCGCTCCTTCTCACTCCTAGAGGGCTTTGCCTGGCTCTGTTGTCTCCTCCTGACACCCTCAGCCCAGGCTTGGACTGCTGTTTCAGGTGAGCATCAGGCTGAGGTGGTCCCCACGGCAGAGCAGAAGCTCTGGGGCCCATTGGCCTCCTTGAAGCCGCCACCTCTTCCACTGTCCCCCGAGACCCTGCTGAAGCCATTCTCTTCTCCCCTCCCCTCCTCTTGATTCCTCAGACCGAACCTTCGCCAGTGGTGAAATTTTGTTGTTGTTGTTGTTGCTGTTAATTCCTTAGCTCTCTCTCTCTCGCTCTGGCTTCTCGTTTCTCTGGGGTTGATTTCTGGAAAATTGCCAGTGGTCAGTGTAGTTTTTCATCTTGACAGGATGAAAAACTAGTTTACAGGATGCGCAGGTGAACTGTAGCATGGGGTGGGGGATGGAGGGTGGGGGGAGGGGGGGAACCGGAGGCAGGAGGGAGGGGCTGCAAATGTGCAGCAAGAAATGCTCTGCTCTCACGCGGTTTTTATTTTAATTAATGTGTTTACTGCACACACATGAAATGTGTGGGGAAGTCTGAGGAAAAGCGAATGCAGAGCTGAAAGAAGGCTTCAAGAGTGAAGTAACACTGTCAGCCTTATACGGAAAGAGCAGCCTCACCCACCTCACACCGCTGTATGTCTCCTGAGGCAACAAATTGGCACCCCAAGATTCACGTCTCCGGCATTATCCCCAGCCCCACTCCAGCCTCTCCCCATAGTTAGTTGTGTCTCTACTTCCTTCGGTGTTCAGTGTTAACTCTTACACCCCACTTGAGTGCAGTGCACACCCGAGACAGCCAGCGCACTGAATACACATTTTCTTTTCTTGCGGTTAAGTACTTGCCCCTCCCTTGGGTTGTTGAGGGATCCCTGTGTGGCCCATGCCCCTCTGACAGTGTAGGATGCTTGCAATGGGGTGTGCATGACATCTTCCGGGTCGCAGCCCCTTACCTCTTCAGATCTCCCCTTCCTGCTTTGCCCTGGTTTGCTCTGCAAACTTTTGCTTCATCATCGTCTTAGGGGTTTTCCTTGCCTTCCTCCCAAGTTAGATCATCACTTTCCAAGTTTGTATTTCCTTTTGTGAGTGTTTGGTGTAGAAAGCAGCACTTCTACATTCGTTTCTTATTACCTTACTTTCTCTGAGCACCACCGGTAAGTAATGTCCGACCCAACCACACGTGCACAAAAGCTCCCCAAATCATAAAAAAAGAAAAAACAAAAAACAAACAAACAAACAAACAAAAAAACCCACAAAACTCCTCAAGCAGAAACGTCTGATAGATCCGGTTTCAACAAATAATCGTAAGCCTGATGGGAAACCTAGTAGTGTTGATCACCGAAGCTTCTCCAGGAATGAAAAGAGGCAAACAGCTGGAACCAACCCCACATCTGTGCTTCTCACTAAGTGACCTGTCTGTTCCCCGGCAGCTGTTTGCAAGGCCCTGGAAATCAGTTTTCTAGCTTAATCCAACATGAGTTGGACCCACGAACACTTTCAGTCACACTCAATTCTGCCTAAGCCACATTTGCAGGGCACTGTGTCAGCTGTCCTGATTCCTTGGGCACCGTGGGGGCTGCAGCTACGACTGAGACTAATGAAAGACACATTTGTCCTTTGTGGTAGGCAGAAAGGACGTGAAGGAACCATTCCATATATTAAATAGAAGGTGTCGGTAGGAAATGAACAAACCGATTCCAATAAGATAAGGGAGATTACTTAGATGTGATAGCAACTGGCTGGAACTTGAAGAAATTCGAATATGAGAGGTTATAGTCAAGCATTTTCCCCCTAGAAAAAGCAGATCTCTAAAGTAAGCAAAAGTAATCAGAATGTATCAATTCAAGAGAGAATAAGATATGGCACTTGGAAAGGAGAGGTAATAACTGCAATAATAATGTTCAGGCCCTAGTACTTCCTGAGGCCAGTTCAATAAAATGTAACATTAACAATTTCTTGGAAAAAAAAAAAAAACAATCAACTGTTCCCTCCTCCCTCTCTACCCCCTTCCTTTAGCTTTATCTTCTGCATGGATCATTTACTACTGTGGCTACTCGCTTTTACCCAGTGTATCCCCAAGAAATTCTGGAATGTTAAATAACAACAAAGAAACATCTGTAGTACTCATTTAAGAATAAATACTAATTAAAGCTTTATTTGTGAAAGATTATTCTCTTTTTTTCAAAACCAAAATGTCTCCTCATTGTCAGGGATTGATGTCACTCTGTTCCAATGTATGTTTCTTTCTGCATGTGCTGTAGAAGATAACATCAACTTTCATGTTAACTTTAACTGCTCTATTTACAGACAGAGTGTTTTTTCCTCATCGTTTGATAACCTGATGTCTCTCTCTCTAGCCTTTGAGGGATGGCTGCATAACATGTCACACATGGAGTGGAAGAGAGCTGGAGGAAGTATTCTCTGGGTACCTCTGTTTACTCATATTGGGCACTAGATTACATAGTGTTTGACTTGCGTTTCCTTGGATCAGGCATATTTGATCATTCTGAGGGGCTCTTGAACTAAAGCTTTATGAAGACAATAAAATGACCTGGAACCAAACCCTGGAATCACGACTAGTACTTCAGGTTACATGAAAACAGAAGCACAGGACATAAAAGGATACAAGAGGCAGTCAAGTGAATGAAGGAGAATCAGTAATTTTTTTTTTCAGTTTTGCTGAAACAGAACCCAATGTGTTGTCTGTTAATCAAAATATACTCTTCCTCTATTTAAAAAAAAACCCTAATGCTCAACTGTAGCAGTAACAAAAACTACAAGTACAAATGATCATCAAATAGGATCTGATCTTAATTTCCAGGTCTCCTTCATTTGTGTAAATGGTCCAACAGATAATTTTCTGTTAGCATCTTGTCTTAAGTCTCTACTGTTCAATATCCCAGCTGTCGTGTGGCTAGTTTCAGACTGTCCTCTGGTTTCATTGCTAAACATTGCTTCAAGTCTATGCTTTATCACCAGATTCTATATACCTGTCCCCCGTGGGATATCCTGAACAATCCTGACATTTACTCTGCCTACACACCTGCAGAGTCTTTGCCTCTTTCTGTCTTGTCTTAATAACGCATCTTTTGAAAGAAAGCATTTAATTGGGGGTGTGCTAGATAGTTTTATATCAACTTGACACAAGCTAAAGTCATCTGAGAGGAGGGAGCCTCAATTGAGAAAATACCTCCATGAGGTTGTACTGTAGGCAAGCCTGTAGAACATTTTCTTAATTAGCGATTGATGGGGGAGGGCCCAGTCCATTGTGGGTGGTGTCATCCCTGGGCTGGTGGTCCTGGGTTCTATAAGAAAGCAGGCTGAGCAAGCTATGAAGAGCAAACTAGTAAGCAGCACCCCTCCATGACCTCTGCATCAGCTCCTGTCCCCAGACCTGCCCTGTTTGAGTTCCTGTCCTGACTTCTTCAATGATGAACAATGATGATAGACGTGTAAGCCAAATAAACCTTTCCCTCCCCAAGTTGCTTTGGTCATGGTGTTTCGTCACAGCAATAGTAACCCTAACTAAGACAGAGGGCTTGCTTACAGTTTCAGAGGGTGAGTCCATGACCATCACAGCAGCAGGCAGGCATGCATGCATGCATGCATGAATGCATACATGGAGCAGTAGCTGAAATATACACCTTATCCACAAGCACGCAGTAGAAAAGAGAGCAAAACAGGGGCCTACTATGTTAGAGGCACTGATGGTACTGGAGCTAGTTTAGCTTAGCTTTCTCTTTGATGGCCTGGTGGGTGGGAGGCAGCATGGAGCGAGAAATTTGTTACTTCAGATCGGCAAGGCTCAAACCCTGAATGCTTTATCAAGCAAGTTATTTAAGCTCTTCAGGTTTCAGTTTATCCTGCTATAAAACAAGTATTAAAAACAGCACGTATTTCATAGCACTGTTGGATAAATAAGCTGGTACTTGATATTTGGTAAAGGCTGAAGATATAGAACCAATCTCATATTATCATGGACATCACAGGGGTCTCACAGAGTTTGAAAGGCCTTTACAAGATCTGTCCTAAGGTGAGTGCTATGATCATCATTTTATAGCTCTTGAATGACATGGTTCAGAATGAAAATAACTATAGTAATAAAATTAGTAATTAGTAGTATCTGCTGTACTGCTGTATGGTTAACTACATGTCAAATACAGTGTTTGATTTACATTCTATGCCGCTCTTTTTTTTTTTTTGTTTGTTTGTTTGTTTTTCAAGACAGGGTTTCTCTGTGTAGCTTTGGAGTCTGTCCTGGAACTTGCTCAGTAGACCAGGCTAGCCTCGAACTCACAGAGATCCAACTGCCTCTGCCTCCTGAGTGCTTGGATTAAAGTTGTACTCCACCACTGCCCGGTGCAGCCCACCATTTTCTAACATTTCATGTGCTCCCATGTTACCTGGGATGCTAACAAATAGGTCTGATTCCAAAAGTCTAGGCTGGAACTCCAGACTTTTGTAATACATTTCTAACAAGTTTGAGGTGATGTTGCTGGACCCAGACCCACACTTTGAGTAACAAAGGTTAAAACGTCTTAATCATAAACTTATTTACTATAGACTGTCTTTGTCCATGTCTTATGCAGAGCAAAGTTGTAGGGATAAATAGCATTCCCAGGTCTATTATATTTCTCCTGTGATTCTGCCAATGAATTATTTGGCAGAGTTTAAACTTTGCCAGTTACATACTGCCAATTAGGATCATTGGGTGCTGCCCATGTGATTACAGCAACATAAACTACCATTACCAAAATGGCTTGACCAGCCATAGCAGAAGAAAATTAAACACACCACGCCCCCAAAACAGTGGCTATGTGTTGTGGAATATTAATTTAAGATGTGTTACATTCATTTATTCTGTGGAATATCTGCTTAATGATGCAAAGACATGTTGCATTCTTTTATGTTGCCTTTGTTTAACTCTGTGAAGCTGTGTTACTTTGCCTGCCTAAAACACCTGATTGGTCAAATAAAGAGCTGAATGGCCAATAGCAAGGCAGGAGAAAAGATAGGCGGGGCTGCCAGGCAGAGAGAATAAATAGAAGGAGAAAAAGAGAAGGAGGAGGAGCAAGAAAAGGGGGAAAGGAGGACGCCAGGGACCAGCCACCCAGCCACCCAGCCAGCCACGGAATAAGAAGGAAAAAAAAGATATGCAGAAATAGAGGAAAGTAAAAGCCCAGAGGCAAAAAGTAGATGGGATAATTTAAGGAAAGCTGGCTAGAAATAAGCCAGGTTAAGGGCAGGCATTCATAAGAAAGAAGTCTCCATGTGATTATTTGGGAGCTGGGTGGTGTGCCCCCCACAGAGCAAAGAGTAAAAGAAAAATCAACTACAGCTATGAGTCAGCAATATGAAATTAGGCTCTACAAAGTGAGTCAAATACCAGATGTGGAAAATGAACGTAGAGGTGAGGCTGAGCTTTGCCTCTTCTAGTTTTCAATACTGCACAGACAGATGTCCAGGTCTCTGTTCTAATTCAAACAAGAGAAAAGATGTTGTCAGCACTACCTGAGTTGATGATCTCTCAGAAAGGGTCCCATAGACCCTCACATCTGCACATCCATCTCAGGATATTTTGAAGAGAGAGTAAGAGGGAACTACAGAAAGTTTGGAACAGAGGAAGTTGCACAGAAGCATAGGCCTGAATGCCCAGGGCTTGAGTAAGTGTGGCTGGCACTGCGAAGGAGATGGGAAGACATGGCCATCCTCCAGGGGGCAGAAAGAGAACTGTGGGTCTCTGGAGCAAGAAAATGGGCCGAGATGAAGACAGCAGTGTCAAGGGAATAAGTAAAAGACAAGCCAGGTTTCAATTAGTGCAGATTTGGCGGGATGGTACACACCTTTAATCCCAGCACTTGGGAGGCAGAGCCAGGCAGATCTTTGTGAGTTCGAGGCCAGCCTGGTCTACAGAGAGAGTTCCAGGACAGGCATCAAAACTACACAGAGAAACCCTGTCTCGAAACAACAACAACAACAAAATTAGTGCAGATTTGAGGTGCCAGGCTTTCAGAGAGTCTTTAGGAAACGTGTAGAGAAACTAGAAGAAATCCATACCATGGAGGGCTGCACAATATCTGTGAGGTGAGCAGAAAGGTCTGAAAAATGCATTATTAGGTCAAAGAAGAGAAATTAAGAACAGAGAAAATCGCCAGCTGTTCTCTAGAACACAGGCTTTGCTTGCTGCAAAGGTTACAGCTAAAGTAGACATTCTTGCCAATAAAGATTGACACTCTAAATTAACAAGGTAGGTCGATTGAAGATAGTTCCAGTGCAGCCCCTGCACGAAGTCAAGAAAATAAGAAACAAAAATCACGCTTGAAGCCCGCTAGTCTTACAAGTCTCTGATTCCTGAGAAAATTAACATTTTTACTTTTCTGCTTCACCTGCATCTGACTCGAAGGCAGTGGAGACCCAAGTGTGCCTTACTGAGCTTAGGAACCCATCAGAGCACACACACAGCGAGGTGACTGTCACCCATGGTGCTGCCAAAACGACATCAATAAATCATGGGATACACCCAAGGGGGCACTGTAAATCATTCAGAGCTGCTATTAATATTTTAGACATGTTCATTTTTAGCAGTGTGTTAAATTTTAGTGTTTGCATTTCATTTTAACTCAACACTTGATAATTGAAAAATGGGGCTATTAAAAATGATCATAGACTTTTTTTTTAAAAAATCATTTAAAGATTAAGCAGAATAAAGGAACGGAAAACTGCTAGACTCATCTTTGTTTCCAAAATTATTGTCTGGCGCTTTGCACACAGGTCGAGAGAAAGCATTGGCCTTTCTTGGTATGTTGGAATTCAAATCCCACCCACCCCCTGGCTTTATGTGATAGTGAGGTAGGTGAGTAGGGCAGAGAGGAGTCTGGGAGGCCTTAGGCAAAGGCAGAGAAGGTAGCAGCAGAAGGAACTCCGACTAGGACTAGCTGGAGACCCTGGTGCAGGCACAGGAGTACTGATGAGTATCTGAAGGTGGCCCATGGCTCATTAGTAATGCTAAAACGCACACCCCTGTGTGGAGATTTAAGGTGCTAATGAGACGTGAATATACAACCTTGTAAGAAAACATGAGTAAGAAAGCCCTCACTATGCTAAAGACCCTGTGTACTATATGATGTTAAAGTCCCCATCCTTTGGACAACATTGCTTGTCTCTCCACTCTGCCATGCTTCCCTTGGATGTGTGTTCTTTCTTAATCAATTCACTTGCTCTGCCTGATATTATCCACATGCTGTCTAATTCCTTGTTTAGGGACGTAAGAACATGCTACCACTCCAGAAGAGGCCACTGAACCCCAATATCTACCAATATTAGCAGCGTGGTAGCTGAGAAAGTGAATGGTCCATCCTGGTTTGCAGAGGACCTCACCGGCTTCAGCACTGAACGTCTCATATGATTAGGGAACGTCTTAGTCTAGAACCACCTGAAACAATGGACTACCTGGCTGGGCCTCGAAAATCTTCATTTGTAGTGCAGGCTCCAAGAGAAAATGGTGGATTTCACGCATCACCCTGTAGTGCCTTCCTACCTCTCTCTGTGACCTGTCTTCTGGTTTGTTGGCTTCAGGAGAAGCCCATCATAGAGGCTTTAGGACTGTTACCACGCCCATTTGTCCCTGAATCATCATGGCGGTCACAGACGTAGGATGCACTTATTGCTCAAGCCTTCGATGTGGACATGGAATAAAATCAGTGTCATTTGACTCAAGAAGGAGTGGGAAAGGTACCTCATCAAAAGAAGAAAGACGTTCGTTACCAAAAGAAGCAGAGGAAATGGATTCTGAGCAGGGGAAATTAAAGAGGGACACTTGAAATGGCTGTTTAAATTGAGTTGGCTTGAAGATAAAAATGCATTTTATAAACTAAAAGGCACTGTGCAATTTAAAAAAAAAGCCACTATCCTTTTATTAATTGATGAATTGCTTCACTCAGAATCCAGAAATGAAAGGCTTTGAAAGCCAGCGCTCTGATTTGATTAGTGGGACATCTAACACAAAGTCATGCAAATGAAACCGGTATAGCCTCTCTGAGAAAGCAAGGCTGGGGCG